TACTAGTAGTAACAAGAAGCTACTAGGAACAAGTGCATCGCTACTAGTAACAAGTGCCTTACTAGTAGTAACAAGAAGCTACTAGGTTGGAGGCCATCGCTACGAACGTAGCAACAACAGGAGCCGCTTTGGGACAGCTTTTGGAGTGTGGTGCCGTTCTGACCAGGACGTACCTGGACCCTCGGCCAGGCAGAGATGTCATAGGATCTAGGACGTGTTGGAGGGTGTTGGACAGGGCAGTGTAGGTTCATTACAGACAGATTCATACAAACTAGGGATTGGTCAAGCGACCATGTGTAGGGGCCTTGCGGCTAACAAATTTTTGTTTGCTTTGGGTGCACTGCATGGCCACCCAATCCTGTGAATTCCTCAAAAGCTGATTAAGTCAACCAGAGGGCCAAGGAACACGATGAATGGTCCCATTTGTTTGACCCTCTCTTGTTGTGATATGTAATTTGTTTGCAAAGGACGCTGTCACCACTTGCCTCTCCAGTCGATGCCGAACCGAACGACCTACAGCGTCAGGTGTTCCAGGTCTACCGGACACCCTCCATGCACCGGACGGTGTGGCCACCCGGACCGGACGTGCCGACCGGACGTGTGCCGCGCGCTTTTTGGCTGCGCATGCCAGGCCTTTGCGGAGCAGTGGCCGGTGGTAGCAGTCTTGCTCTACCGGAAGCATGTGGTGTGGCTCGGGCGCGTTGGACTTGTCCCGTTCCATCTCCCCAAGGACGGAGGGTTTTGTTGAGAACTCCCTGCAGAGCCCTGCACCTGTGAGGTCAGAGTTGTCCTACATTTGGCAGCTGGTGAACTATTTGGAGGACCGTCGACAAAGTAGAACAACAACACCTTCAACCCCTTCATACCCAAATGTCCACTGTGTATCAAGGAGTGAATGAGATCGAGTCACTATAAATAGTATCATTTGGGGACCGGGAAAATCCTTGTTTGTTGGTGCATGGGGTTCAACATGGTTCGACAGTTCAACCCAAGGAGGCGCATCAAATCCTCCCGGTGCCCATCTTCATCCAAGGCGGCTGGAGAGTTCATAACGAAAGTACCACAACGGGGTGAACAGCCTCACCCCGTCGTCTTTTACATGGTGTGTGGAAAGGCTGACTCATGAAGCCTCTTGTGCGTGTGACCTTGGACGCCTTGGAGTTGGTTGCGACACGCTACCACCTTTTCCAAAGCCTTCAAGTGACCCCAGCAGGCCAGCAGGTGCTGCATGCCATGGAATGGTGATGAAGAACACCACGAGTGTGAATAACACAGGATACACCCTGGTCAAGAGGATATTAATGAATAACACTGAGGAAGTCAGGCTAGTAAGATGATGTAAGATGTAAACAAACATTTGACTGGATATGGAGCAATCCGGATTACCGGTTTTGCCATTCCTAAGCGACAATGATTTTTCCAGGCACTCATTTTCACTGTCCATCAGGGATCAAAACCCAAACAATGATTTTGGTGGGCTTCAACATCCATGTACCTCTCTAAGTACCTCTCTTTGATGTTTTCTCGGGAGAGTTCCAACCACGGCCGCGCCGGTCCCCCCAAACGCTTCGTCGTAGGCGTTGATGCCCACATCGCGGTGCGCGACCTGCTGACGAGCTCCTACGAGCGGGAAGCGGTGTGGCTTGGCACATCGCGAGCGAGTTCGGGAGCTGAGGAGCCGAGGAACCAGTTTCTATTTTGATGCAGCTCTTAGAAGGAGCAAGGTGCCGGGATCACGAAGAGAGTATATTTTTTCATGGGTTGGCGACTGTGACTAAGGAACAGACAGAATGGATAACATATCCCCTCTTCCAAGTGAGCCGCATGGAAGCGCCGAAAGTCCTTATCCTGAAAGCTGCAGGTAGCATACCTGCACCACCCTGGTGTGACTCTTTAACGTTAGTTTTTTTGTAGTTTGGTGGCAAAGAATCGTTTACAAATGGTTATTGTCGTTTCACATGGCCTTTAGAAGATGTGCACTCAAAACGTATTTATTGACTGTTTGCGCTGTTTGTGTGCTATGATTTGCGCCGTTTTGTGAGAGGCATGTGCCCTTTGAAGATTTTGAAGATCTCCTTTCTGCTCACTTCGTGGAACCAGTCAAGAGCACTAAGAACCCCAAGAAGTGCCGTTTCGTCCATTTCTATGAAACACACTTTTTGAGTATTAAGCATCCCAGACACTCCATGTATGGCATATATGTGCATATATGCCTGCATTGTATGGTGATGGTTCAAAGGGAAAAGAAGACCAGCGCACTTCCATCCTTCGTCTCCCTCGGTCCGAGACGCTACGTCCGCCCACATCTCAGTCCGTCCCTCAGGTCGCGTGGCGAGGTCATGGCCAACAGGCGCGGTCATCGGCCGAGTCGCGAACGTCGGGTGTGGACTACTCGAGAGGAGTGCGGAAGGAGGACGGGACAGATTCGAGGTGACAAGGCGCAGGTGTAAAGGAAACAAAAACAAAGAACTGAGTTCGATCGTCCCTGTTCGAGCTAGAAATTTGGTCAAGTTAGTTCCTTCCACCAAGGAAAGAAGACATGGAAGTGCCTTTCTGGTGGTTTCATGCCATGAAATGCCAATATGTTTGGGCTGTCGTGTGACTTTGCATGATTTTGCCGCACCCGGGGGGCCCTACACTCCATAGGGGGGCCCTGAAGCTGGCAGAGTGTGAAAGTCTGTTCTTTTCGTATTTCATACCGTAAAAAAACCGTTCCTCAGAAACTTACTGTAAACTAAACAAGGTGTAGTGATCAGAGATATGGTTTGGCTCATGTTTTACCAACATCTTTAGAGGCTGCCTCTTTACCATCCCCAGTCCCTCCAAATCGTTGGAGGGTCCGTTGATCATGGAAAGTATTGGAAAGGTGCTGTGACTGCGTGTGACTGAGGATGCATCCTGCTTTAAGCTTGGCACATCCCGGCAGAAGTTGTTCTTTTGACATTTTAACCATTTGCAGGTGATGGATATGGGTGATCAGTCGTCCAAGCCGGATACATCCAGGATTCAATGCTTGAATCTTTCATTGGGCCATTGTGAAGTTCTCGATCACTCTTCGACCATGGGATTTTCACTGGTGTCCAAGCCCTTGCATTTCGCACAGCAAGGGCTTGGTTTTCGTGCCTCCTTAGCATTCCATAACCACACCATCGCTCCCAGAATTGGCGACCGATCCCGCTGCGACTGATCACAGCGACTGATCCCGCTGGTAGGACCCAGTCCCCAGATGCCATCCATGTGGATACTTGGCTGACGGGCGGATGTCGCTGGATGGGTACCTGCAGAGAACAAGGTGAAAAATGTTGGAATTCATTCGACATTGACACGCTATCCTGACTCATGTTCTGGCATTTGGCATCAGGTCGATGTCTGGCATGTGTTCACTTCTTCTTTCTTGACAAGATTGGACCTGTGTTGAGAGATGTGTATAGTAACTTTACGTGGCACGTCCCACCGGAAGTTCCCACGTGTTCTTTGGTGACCGGTGCTTCGTGTTTGGTGCTTCGTAGCTGACATGTTCTGACCAAAGGGTGGCAGAAATCCTCTTCGTGCTTCTCGTTCGTTAGTTCCAGGTGTCCTCTCCCACTTGTCTTCATGGCGTGGGATGTCATGGGGATGAAGATGTGGAACTTGGTCAACTAGTCACAGCATTCTGGTGGCCTGCTCCGCTTGCTGAACGACATTTCATGTGCAGAAAGTACATTTGGAATCATTTGGAGACCTCAGATGTAGCTGAGAAGATTTTGAGAACCATACATGATATGGTCATATCCCGCAAACTAGTATAGCCATGTATAGCCATTCTTTGTTTGGGATTGGCGGCCACTGATCTTGTACAAACTCCTGCCCTGGCATCCGCAATCTTTGCAAGACTCTGCACTGAACCTGCGGTGTGATTCCATGTAAGAGACCACTGAGGTTCTTTTCTTGCTCTGACATGTCACTCTAATGCGCGGTGTTCCCATGTGGTGTTCCCATGGGGGACGGCAACAGCACTGAACAAACATCGTGCTCCGATGTTTGGCTTCGGAGGATGCCGTGGTGAACACCATCGGCTTCCCCTTGGTGGGTGGCCCTGCTGGGTCCATGGAAGGCGTTTCCGGAGCGGGTGACGGAGCGGAGGGCGGTGTGTGTCTTGGTGAACTTCCTCACGCATCGCCATGCCCAAACTGAAGCGTTCTCCCGGGCCATGAGGCGGGCCATGAGGGAACAGTTTTACTTAACATGGAACGATCAACAACAGTTCTCAAGTTCTCAAACATCACATGTGCCATCCTTCAAGCCTCTTCGTGTCCACCGCAACCTCGGTCATGTTCAAAGAATGCCTTCGGGATGGAACCGAGTGAAACGGTGTGAGTGAAAACGGCCGAAGAAACCAGGTGGGCGCAACAGTGAGATCGCCAAGGACGGGAGGGTAAAAGGATGGAGCAAAGCTTTGAGATGGTTGTGGAAGGTTCATGACATGTTCAATTACATTGTTCAAAAACATAACCGTTCCATTCATGGCTTTTTTTGATGCTCACTTGTCATATCATGTTTGTTGAACGTGTTATGATTATGTTATTTTGGTATCAATTACTGCTCTTCTATACCTGTCACGCGTGTGTTTCAGTCAGACTTCCTGCTGTCCCCAAGCCTCCTCAGTGTGCATTCCTCAAACCAGCATTTCCTGAAGAAAGAAGATAATATGTTCTTATATTATTCATGGAGCCCTTTAAAGAGTGAATGAACCTTCCAACGCCCCACCCACCCAGGTGTGCTGACACACATACACACATATAAAAGCGCGAACGAAGCAGACGATTGCGATTGTTGATGGCAAAGCACAGAGGAGATCTTGGGGTCTTTGAATGTGCCCTACTTCGTGGCGGCGCCGTTGCTCATCCAGGATTTGCAGTCCTGGAAGGACCAAGGTGCGAGTCCGTTCTCGAACATCTGCGGACGTGGCGATGGACGTGGGGACTCCTTCAGCTTCCTTCATATGGCTGCGACGAAGTTCATGGACGATCTTTCAAGAATTGTAGGCACGGTGAGAGACGCGGTGGCTGCGAGAAGATGCACGGGATATCACGGGATCAGATCTTTCAGGCGCCTCGAAATACCTGGTGCAGGTGCGGTAAAGGTTCCCAGTGCTCATCCTGATTGACCGCCCAAAGTCATTTCCATCCCCAGAGATCTCGTCTCCCGCCTCGTCTCTGACCGCCTCGTCTCTTCGTCTCTTCGCCTCTCTCCACCGACGTCGCCCCACCTCGCCCCACGTCGCTCCGCACCTGGCTGCTACTAGGAAGGCACTTGTTACTACTAGCGTGGCACTTGTTCCTAGTAGCTTCTTGTTACTACTAGTAAGGCACTTGTT